ACTCTGAGTTGGGTTTCAGGCTGCTTTTGTAGGAACCCAAAGTGCTGAGTCCTCTCAGACTTTGGGCTGAGCTTCTCAGTTCCCCCAGTTAAGAATTTTAGTACAAGATATTTGGGCTTTCCTCTTACAATCTAGCCATGAGGTCTCTCTGCATCACTTCTGCAGATTTCAATGGATCAAAAGTGAGATCCGATTCGAGGAGAGAGAACCCCAAAAGGACATAAATACCACGAGGCATGGATATTGGGTAACTTTCTATGGGTATTGGATAACTGTCTATGGATAACTATGCATGGATATTGGATAACTGTCTTTGGAGACATGCTACACATTATGAGTAAAATGTGAGTTTAAATCTCTATGTATAAAACCCAGAAAGAGAAAGGCCAAGGAACATGCATTTTGAGTTGCAGGTGTTTTGAAAATTCACTCGTTTCTTCCATTGCTACTATGGTTATCCTGAGAGAAGTTTGTAAAGGTTATTTCTCCTGAGATGTGGTGCTAATATTAGTGTTTTCACATCTAAGGTAGTATTATTAGCAAATTCATCTCAAAAGTTCTGCTACTTAAAAATTCTTTTCTTTTAGCACGTAAATATAGATTTTTGTTTTTAAAATGTATGGAATTCTCTCAAAAGCTTTTTAAAAGATGTAGGTCTACTTTGTACCAAACTTGAAATATTTGGCAAAAATTAGCGTCATGATAGGTGTTCCAGCTTGTGTCTTCCGAATTTCATACTGTTGATGCACAATGGTTATTTATTATTGTTAGGTTGATACAAACCCTGTATGTCTATTGAGTCCCCTTGCTAAAAGGCTGCATTGAAGCTATGTAACATCTTTAACGATTGGGTGTGTTTTAGCATTTGTCATCAATTTTTTACAAAAAGATCTCTGAACAATCTTGATGATTATAGGTTGTGGTACTGACTTTTTTTTTTTTTTTTTTTTTTTGAGACAGAATCTCACTGTGTCACCCAGGCTGGAGTGCAATGACATGATCTTGGCTCACTGCAACCCCCGCCTCCGGGGTTCAAGCAATTCTCTTGCCTTGGCCTCTCCAGTAGGGCGTGCCCTATCATGCCTGGCTAATTTATGTGTTTTTAGTAGGGATAAGGTTTCACCACATTGGTCAGGCTGGTCTTGAACTCCTGTCCTTGTGATCTGCCCACCTTGACCTCCCAAAGTTCTGGGATTACAGGTGTGAGCCACTGGGATTACAGGTGTGAGCCTTGATACTGACTTTTTAAAACAAAGTTAATGAAAAAGAAAAAAAAGTGTTGGGAGGTGGATCACCTGAGGTCAGGAGTTTGAGACCGTGGCTACAGGAGGGATAGTGGGAGGAAGGGTGGGGGAGGGATAACGGGGGGGAGAAATGTCAGGTATAGGTGATGGGGGGATGATGGCAACAAACCACCTTGCCATGAATATACCTTTGCAACAATCTTGAATGATTTGCACATGTGCCCCAGAATCTAAAGTACAATAAATAGTAAAAAATTTAAAACAAACAAACAAACAAAAACAAAGTGAATGAATTAATTCAAAGTCATTATCAACTCTAGAAGATATTAACGAAATACTATTTTTACATCCTAACCACATATGTTATGTGTTGCTCTTCTATGCCCTCATTCTTTGCCTAAGATTTGTCCATATATTCTTCTTGTCAGCTGCCTTAATTAATCCTGGGTTGTCGTCCCTGCTGGTGGCTTTGGCGTAGCCCAGAGCTGCCCTGGATGGGAAGGACTACTCTGTAGGCAGTTCTGTGAAGGGCCCTTCAAGCCTTCCATTGTGCTAGGAAGCCCATCTGCTGCTGCATTTCCCCTAGGTTGGCAGCTGAAACCTCCTGCTTGTGAAGTCACAGTGGGTCAGGATAATAATGTGGACAGAGGGAAAGACAAGGATAGAAAGTTCCCTGCTGAGTAAGCAGGTCCTAAAGTGCTCTCCTATTTTCCTTCCTGCACATGAATATAGACATGATTGCTTGACAAATTATCTTTTTTTTTTTTGACAGAGTCTTGCTCTGTCATCTAGGCTGGAATGCAGTGTAGTGCAGTGCAGTGGCATGATCGTGACTCACTGCAACCTTGACCTCCTGGGCCCAAGCAGCCATTCCACCTTAGCCTCCCGAGTAGCTAGGACCGTAGGTGTGCACCACCATGCCTGGCTAATTTTGTAATTTTTGTAGAGGTGGGGTTTTGCTGTGTTACCCATGCTGGTCTTAAACTCCTGGGCTCAAGTGACCCCCACCACCACCCCTGCCTTGGCCTCTCAGAGTGCTAGACAAATTATCTGTCATTATGAGGCTGCAGCATTTGGTGATTGGCATTAGGGTAGAGGTGGTAAGGGGCTGTGGTTTAAGGTGATAAGTCCAGATGGTTTAAATAATATGGAAGATATATTCTTTCAAACTGTTAATACACTGGCTTACTCTGAAAGGAAAAAAATTTCAATGTAGCAATTCTGTTATATCATTCAGCTGTAAGAATCAAGTGGCACTGCTTTAATTATTTCTTATTGATCCTAATACATTTAGCCTTCACTTATCTTACTAACTGGGTATTTAAGTGAAGCCTCATGTTGGGACATATTTCTTATGTGCACAATATCTGTGAGCTTTTGTTCTGAACTTTGCAGTATTTGAGAGGCCAGTGTGAGCTAGTAATTTTAACGTTCTTCACAGTCATGCTGCCAGATGCCTAAGGAACATTTTTCCCCACTCAGTTGTATCTTCTCTTCATGACATGTTTTTCTGGTTAGAAATTACAGAGCCACTGCTGTACAGGGCCCTAGCTATAAACATGGATGTGAGTAAATCCTATGGGGATGTTACCAACGAAATGGCACTGATGCCTGCATTCATGGCATGGCCCTTCTGCATGGATTTTTTTTTTAGGCATAGGGTCTTACTATGTTGCCCAGGCTGGAGTACAGTGGCTATTTGCTGATGTGATCATTGTACACTACAGTCTTGAACTTTTGGTCTTAAGCCAGCCTCCTGCCTCAGCCTCCTGAGCAGCTGGGACTATAGTCATGTACCACTGCACCTGGCTCTCTGCAGATGGAGTAGTAAAAATGGTAGGACATGTTTTACAACAGGCTTGAGAAATAGTGCTTGACCTATAATATTTAGAAGAAATTGTTCAGGTAAAAATAGTTTAGCTCCTATCAAATGAATTACATACTCTTTCACTTGATGATAGGTACATTAATTGTGATCTTGACTAACAACTAAGTAACCATTATTATTCTGACATACATGGTTTCCTAAAAAGCACATTTAAAAAATTTTTAGAGTCAGAAGCAACACTAGCATTCCATGCTTCTGATAGATGGGCATTGGGCTGTTTTAAAGTTTTTATTGAACCTCCAGGTTGGCTCCTTCATAGGTGCCAACTGTAACCGGGGTTGGTTAACTTGTTTGTAATAACCACACAAGAAGCCAGAATAACTCTTTAAGTGAGATGGTAATATCTGAATGTTGAATTCTGCATTTACAACTGCACTGGAAGACTAAACTAATTTTAGTTATTTTTGGAAGGTGTTTATTCTGTTCTTTATGATTCCAATAAAGTTATGATCACCCACCCCCTCCTTTTTTTTTTGAGAGAGGGACTTGCTCTGTTGCCCAGGCTGGAGTACAGTGGTGAGATCTTAGTTTACTGCAACCTCTGCCTCCCAGTCTCAAATGATCCTCCCACCTCAGCCTCCCAAGTAAGCTGGGGTTACAGGAGCACACCACCGTGCTTGGCTAATTTTTTACTTTTTTGTAAAACAGCTTCTCCCTATATTGCCCAGGCTGTTCTTCAACGCCTGGGTTAAGCAATTCTCCTGCCATGGCCTCCCAAAGTGCTGGGATTACAGGCATGAGCCACCATTCCCAGCTGAACCATGATACTTTAAAAAAGTTACCATGTATCATACATTCCTTTGAGGTGCTATACAGCAGCAAACTACTGGGCACCTAGGGTTTAAGCAAGAGCCTGTGTAGTTGCCTGTGATATACTCACCTGCTTTTGTGTGTTTTGAATTATTACTTCCTGTGAACTATTACTGTGCTATTTTCTTTTTTAATTTATGGTCAGAGAACAGAGGATGAGTAATTTTACTAATGAATGATTTTTTAAAAATAAGTGAAGTATTGCAGATAGATCTTGTGTTGGGAGAAGAGATTGCACAGACATGTACAACTCTGCTGGAATGAAAAGCAGTGCATTTTGTCATAACTTTGCCCCTTTGCCCTCTACCTTGGTTCTCTATAGCTTTGCTCTGTGCAGGGAAGTCTTGCTAGAATCGACAAGAAAGCTACATTTGTACAGTGCCACTAGTTTTTTGCAGTCAGAGGTTATATCATGGCCCAAAAAGAACTGGGAGCTTTTAATTCCATTAAAGGGAGGCTCACATTCTTTGGACTCTTCTGGTCCCTGAACCTAACTCAGCCACCAGAAGCTTACATTTCTACCAGGGGAGGAACAAAGCAAGCAGAGGCTGCCCAGAACACGCACAGAGCACTTTCTTCATCTTACTTAATTATTTTGCTTATTGTCTTTCTACTCGTAATAGATCATAAGCTTATGAGAATAGGAGATTCTGCCTATTTTGTTCATTGCTCTATTACCTGCACTAAGAATATCCCCTGGCAGATAGTAAGCCCTCAATATACACATGTTAAATTGAGCCCATCATTTACCCAGCATCTCCCAAAGAGGTTTCTTTACACAAACTATTACAGTACTTATGGTGGTCTCTGGGGCCTATCGCAGGGGAATTTATCTGACTGTGATCTGTTTTTTAGATAAAACCTTCCCAGTAAAGTTGTTATAAAATATAATTTATAAAAATTCATTTAAATCTCACATGTTCTCATTATAAGCAGTTGGGTTAAAATTATCACAGATCTTCATTAGAGAAATGCAAACCAAAACTACAATGCGATACCATCTCACACCAGTCAGGATGGCTGTTACTAAAAATTCAGTAAATAACAGATGCCGGCAACGTTGTGGAGAAAAACAAACACTTATACACTGTTGGTGGGAGTGTAAATTAGTTCAACCATTGTGGAAGACAGTGTGGCAATTCCTCAAGGACCTAAAGACAGACATACCATTTGATTCAGCAATCCTACTGGGTATATACCCAAAGGAATATAAATCATTCTGTTATAAAGACATATGCACATATATGTTCATTGCAATACTACTCACAATAGCAAAGACATAGAATAAACCTAAATGCCTATCAATGACAGACTGGATAAAGAAAATATGGTACATATACACTATGGAATACTATTCAGCCATAAAAAAGAATGAGAACTCTTTTGCCTTCCGCCATGTAAAACATCCCTTTGCTCTTCCTTCATCTTCTGCCATGATTGTGAGGCCTCCGCAGCCATTTGAAACTAAGCAGCAGCAATTGGAGGCTTCCATTGAAAAGAACTATAACAGCATGCAAATCCTGCACTAGCAGCTGAGGTATCCAGGTTCTGTCATCAGAACTGACTGGGTGGCTGGCATGACCCGTGGAGAGGAAGGAAGAGCAGTGTGGTATGGTGTCCCACCTGAGAGCCACATGGGGCAGGGGAGTCTCCACACTCCAGCCAAGGGACGTGGTGAGTGAGTGTGCTACCTAGCCTGTGAAACTGTGCTTGTTCCATGGAACCGTACCACCCATGGATCAGAAGATCCTACTTTTGAGGCTACTCCACTGGGGCCTAGAGTCCCAGCCAAGGAGCTGTGCAGATTCTCAGCAGCTCCTCAGCTAGAATCTGCTTAAGCCTGCCAAGTTCCCAACTGAGGAGTGGCCAGCACTACAGCTGTGGCTGCCTGCTGTCTAAGCCATTTAAGCTCCTTGCAGGAGGTGCAGCAGCCAACACTGGGACTGCTGGCTGCCTAACACACTAAGCTCCCAGAGTGAGGGAAGGGTGGTAGCTATCACTGTAGCTCCAGGCCACGCTTTTCCCCTGCTGAAGCCAGGGAGGCTGGACGGGTTGGTCCCATAAGGTGTTCCCCACAGTCCAATACACCGGCTGTGGCATACTGGAGCCGTAGTGCCTCTTCAGGCCTGACCCTGACCCATCCTTCTCAATGGGTGGAGCCTCCCTGTAGGAACTCCAGTAACTCCAGCCAGGGACTCAGGGTTAGAACTCTGCTCCCCCTGTGCCTGAGCCCATAGTTGCAGTGGTAGCCATAGTCTCCATGGACTAGCAGACTTAGTCTTTCTTCCTGCTAGTTCTGAGGAATCTGGGCAGCCCAGACAAGTGGGTTCTCCCGCCCCCCCAGAAAAGCACATCCCCTCTACCAAGGGACAGACAACGTGATTTGTTCAACAGGTCCTGCTCCCTGTACCAGCCAACTGGGTGAGACCCTCCAACAGGGGTTGTCAGACACCCTATACAGGAACGTTCCTCCTGGCATCAGGTCAGTGCCCCTTGAGGTCTGAGATCCCAGAGGAGGGAGCAGGCACCTATCTTTGCTATTCTCCAGCCTTCTCACCTTGAGTAACATCTTCAGGTGCAGGAACGAACCAGATAACTAGGGTCTAAAGTGAACCCCCAGCAAACTGCAGCAGTCCTGCAGCAGAGGAACCTGACCATTGAAAGAAAAACAAACAGAAAACAGTAACAACAGCATCAACAGAAAAGTCCCCACAAAAACCTCATCCAAGGGTCAAAAGCCTCAAAGATTGAAACTCTTGAAGAGTTTCTCAAGAGAGAAACTCACTCAAGAGAGAAAGAATCAATGAAAAACACTGAAAACCCAAAAGGCCAAAGTGCCTCTTTTCCTCCAAATGATTGCAGCACCTCTCCAGCAAGCGCATAACTGAATGGAGGATGAGATGGATGAATCAACAGAAGTAGGCATCAGAAGATAGATAATAGCAAACTCTGCTGAGCTAAAGGGGCATGTTCTAAACCCAATGCAAAGAAACCAAGAACCTTAATAAAAGGTTACAGGAGCTGCTAACTAGAATAACCAGTTTAGAGAGGAACATAAATGACCTGATGGAGCTGAAAACACAGCATGAAAACTTTGAAAAACATATACAAATATCAATAGCAGAATTGACCAAGCAGAATAAAAGCTATCAGAGTTTGAAGACCATTTTGCTGAAATAAGGCACACAGACAAGATTAGAGAAAAAGGAATGAGAAGGAACAACAACAAAAAAAACCTTTGAGAAATATGGGACTATGAAAAAAGACCAAACCTATAATTGATTGGAGTACCTGAAGGAGATGGGGAGAATGGAACCAACTTGAAAAACACACTTCAGGGTATTATCCAGGAGAACTTCCCCAACCTAGCAAGACAGGCCAACATTCAAATTCAGAAAACATAGAAAACACCACTAAGATACGCCATGAGTAGATCAACCCCAAGACATGTAATCATCAGATTCTCCAAGGTCGAAATGAAGGAAAAAATGTTAAGGGCAGTCAGAGAGAAAGGCGAGGTCATTGAATCTCCCCAAATGCAAAGTCATTTAGATGTTGGTAAGTCTCAGGAGAGATTGTGTGATGGAATTATTACATGCTGGAGAGTTTGAAGCCACCTCTGGTGGAGAGGGTCCTTTGAGAAGTGTGGTCAACACAGAACAGTCTTCTAGGTCTTCTAGATTTTTGACTATCTTTATAAGGCTTTCCACTGTGTCACAGGACAGCATCCTGGAGGTATTGTCTCTGAACTTTTCCTCTAGGTCCTCCTGGCTCAGTGGTTTTCTCCAGTGACCATAGAAGGTGTCAGAGCGATCTGTGAAGATGGCTCCATCCTTGAGGGTGACACTTATTTCACAGTACAGTGTGTTGAAGCTTGGCAAGTTGTCTGGAGGGTACTCCAGCTCCACCTTATTGAGCAGCTCTCTCACCTGTGGCCTGTTGATCTGGCATTCATGGAATGAGGGGACAGTGATGCCACCATCAAGCAACATGGCACAGGCTACGTACTGGAATGAATGACGGGCTTCATGTTCCGAGTCTGGAGAGGGCCTATTTACATACTGGACTTTTGGAATCCTGAGCACAATTCTCTTAATGTGGTCAATTGGAAGCAGGGTTTTCTCTGCTACGAGGTGCTTTCTTACAGATGCAGCTGCATCTGCCACCCAGTGGGTAGATAAATGCGCAGGAAAACGCTTAAAGGCCACATCCTGCTGATCCAGCAGCCAACTGTAGGAATGTAGGTTTGGAAGCACTTTTGGGGAATAGTTGGCATAAAAGGCCCCAAGTCCTGCCTCCAAGTCCAAGATCTGCTTGTTTCCTTGGAGACCCAGCATTGCCAGAAAAGCAGCTTCTATCCCATGCTTGGCAGCATTGCCAATGTGGAGGGGCTTGGTTTGAGTGGCAGCATTTGCCATGGGCGCTCCAGCATGGGAAACAGCAATGGCCAGGGCTTCTTGGCACTTTGTCAAGCTAAGTCCTAAAAACTTGGACGCAGCAGCAGCACTACCCAACGTTCCTACCACAGAAGGGGGATGGAATCTGAAAAGCAAAGAAGCAGAGTTGGAGATTTACAAACCTTAACCACCAGGAGGCAGGATAGCATAGTCATCAAGAGCATCAGTAATGGAGTCACGGTCTCTGGGTTCAAATCTCATTTCCTCTACTTTGTTAGCTATGTGATCTGGGGAAAGTTATTCAACTTCTCTGTAGATTTTTTCTTGCACAATATGGTGATAGGCCAGGTATGATGGCTCATGCCTGTAATCCCGGCACTTTGGGAGGCCAAAGCGGGAGTGGCATCTGAGATCAGGAGTTTGAGACTAGCCTGGCCAACATATTTTTAGTGGAGTCTGGCAAAACCCAGACTCCACTAAAAATACAAAAATTAGCTGGGTGTCGTGGCAGGTGCCTATAGTCCCAGCTACTTGGGAGGTTGAGGCAGGAGAATCTCTTGAACCTGGGAGGCAGAGACTCCACTGAGCTGAGATCATGCCACTGCACTCCAGCTTGGATGACAGAGCAAGACTGTCTCCAAAAAAAAAAAAAAAAAATTAAAATGGTGATAATAATAACATCTACCTCTTAGGGTTTTAGGAGTTTTGAATAAATTAACATGTTTACAATAGTGCCTAACACATAGTGAGTTCTTTATAAATGGTACCATTACAATTACTGCCAGAAAAGCAAAAGCTACTGATTGCTGAAATCTTATGTAAGTAACTGTGAGAGTTGCGGGCCTTGAAGAAACTGTGAAACATCACCACCTAGTATTTCAATTTACTCCTCTCCTAGCAGGCTGGAGCAAGTGGCAATAGAAATTTGAGACTGAGCCATATGATGTGGCTGACATTTGACCATTTTCGATCTGCAGGATGAACAGTCAGGGTTAGGATATTCTGAATGTTCTCAGTAGTCTGAGGGATGTTAGCCAGTCTCAGAGTAGATTCTGCTTTGAGGTTGGGATAAGGAATGCTCAGCACACTCATGAATGCCAGAATGATGTGAGTCATCTTGTGATGAGAGGCCCAAATTATTTCATGGTCCTGGTTGCACTCCCAAAGTCACGTCTTTAAATGTGAATAGAGTTTTTATTATGTGACCATTTATTATGTGTCAGTGTAGATAATTGACTTATCTACCTGCACTAATGTTAACATTTTCTGCTGAGCCAGCCTCTAAGTCAGAAAGCTATACAGAGATAATGATTGACAGATGAAGGGGATGTGACTGCCTTTTGATGGGGTAAATTCTCTCCATACCTCTTTGGTATGTCATTGGCTTCCTTGGCGAAATGCAGTAATTGGCCTTGCACTTCTATACCAACATTGAAAGCCAGCAGCAGGTCAAGGCCAGAAAACTTCGGACTTCTTGGGAGGGCTTCCGCTAAAGCTGTGAGGACAGGAAGGACAGCCCCAGAAGGGTGGGTGGCAGGGTGCCACGTGTCATCAAAATCCATGGAGTGAATCTATGTAAAGAGACACAGCAACAAAAAACCTTACATTTTTCCCTTAATGCAATGGCTTTGGATCACTAAGGACTTAGTTTAGTAATAACCTTGTTTTATGTGAGATTATCTTGATTCTCTGAAAAGAAAATCTGAGAACTGGCTGTGGTTTTTATTCTTTTTTTTTTTTTTCTGAGACAGTCTTGCTCTGTCACTTAGGCTGGAATGTAGTGGTACACTCAGCTCACTGCAACCTCTGCCTCCCAGGTCCAAGGAATTCTCCTGCCTCAGCCTCCCGAGTAGCTGGAATTAGAAGCACCTGCCATCATGCCTGGCTAATTTTTGCCTTTCTAGTAGAGACGGGGTTTCGCCATGTTGGCCAGGGTGGTCTTGAATTCCTGACCTCATGATCCACCTGCCTTGGCCTCCCAAAGTGCTGGGATTACAGGCATGAACCACTTCGCCTGCCCTGGGTATGATTTTTAATCACAAGGCCAGGCCCTGGGAAATGCTGTTCCTCTGCTAGAGGAGGGCAGGACCTTGGAGAGCAGTTTGTGAGCCTCTAGGAGCTTGGGTCTTGACTTGGTAGCCTGAGCACCCTCTGCCATGGCCCCTGGAAGGAGCTATATTCCTGTTTAAAAACAAAGCTGTAGAATCAGGTGGCTGGCAATTTCTTCCTCCTCCACTCTTTAAATAAGTTGCACTGAAAGTTTGATGTCACTTATTCCATATGAGGCCATATATTTTTGTACCTTTTTCTTATGAACTAATTTCAAATTTTTAGGGAAGTTGTAAGAATAGCCTAAGAACTTTGAAACTCAGCTATATTTTAAAAATTATTATTTTCTGTTTTAAGATTTCATTCCTCTTTATCCTAGCCATTTTCTTTTTTTCCTTATATTAAAACAGCAATAACCAGAAGTTCATTTAAAAATAGATTTTTATGTCTATTTGCTGTCACTGGTGCATTTCCCACTGCCTTCAGGACATTACTTTGGAACACACCATTGACTTTAACTTTCAATATCCTGAGCTATTGTCCCCATAAATCATAAAAATATCTCAAAACCTCCAACATGTTCATTTCCAAATTACATCTTGTAGATTACTTCCCCTGACACACAGAAAAAGCATAAAAATAATCTGTCACATGAGAAGCACTGATTTTTTGGTTCAGAAAATACAGACACTATATGGCCATTGTTCCTTTCTCAATAACTGTCTGTTGAACAGATGAATGAGTGAATGAATAAAGAGCACATTACTGGAGAGAAACTGGCCCCACAACAGGAAAACTGAGAAGAAATTGGAACTGGATATTTGGTTTTATATTTTTTGCTACTTACATTCAAGGTTTTGAATTGGGATACCTTAGGGTGTTTTTATCTAAATCCTTCCATCTTCTTTCCTCTACCTCACAATCTGTTTGAAAAGCATCAATTTACTGTAAAAACATGAAAACTGAATTACTACACAGGAGAGAGGGCAAGCCACTTTATCTCTCTGACTTTCAATTCTTTCATCTGTAAAATATAGAATTTGGGCAATTACTGAGATATTTCCCGACTCTTAAATTATTATGATTATCTAATAGTTGAAAAGACATGTAAACCTCCTTACAGCCACACCATTCACAAAAGCAGCATATGTGGGTGGGAGCCTGATGTCCGGCCGACCCCAAACAGTGCTGGATATGTTGGAACTGTAGATCTGGAACAAAAGCAAATCAACCAGTGATAGTGTGAATACAGCATACCAAGTCACCATTTCAAGAGTTATTCTTCATCTTTGGAGGTGTTATGCATAGTTCTTACTTGAACCTTTGTCACAGATAGAAGCCCTAGTCATTGAATTCCTCTCATCTTTATGGAATACACAACTTTCCCTCATAAAAGGTGGAAGGGATGCTGTTGCTTGATCCCAGATCATGATCTGGAAGTGCTCCAGGGAAGCACATCTGAAGTTGCTCTTATTTACTCCTTAGGGTAAATACCAGGGAAGATGGACTAACCGTCTATATCAAATACACCCTAGAGAGAGCAGGAGCGCTCATGTACATGCCCACTTTCTGTTCAGAGTACTTGACCAGGCTTTTCTCCAGAGACTAATGATAATAAACTGTTGAGATATTACTAGTATATGGGTTTTTTTCTTTATTTAGTTGTTTGCTTTTGAGACAGGGTCTGGCTCTGTTGCCTCAGCTGGCGTTCAGTGGCGTGATCTTGACTTACTACAGCCTCAACCTCTCGGGCTTAAGTGATCCTTCACCCTCAGCTTCCCAGGTAGCTGGGACTATAGGCGTGTGCTGTCACACCTGGCTAATTTGTGTGTGTGTATGTGTGTTTTGTTTCTTGTTTTAGAGATGGGGCTTTGCCATGTTGCCCAGTCTGGTCTCAAATTCCTGGGCTCAAGCAGTCTGCCTGCCTGCCTCGGCCTCTGGAAAGCTGGGATTACAGGTGTGAGCCATCATGCCTGACTGTGTATGGTTTTAAGATAGCAACTTAGTAAAGAATATGGATTAATATGAAAACCCAGATAATGAAACATAGAAAATGATATAGAACAGTGCCATGTACATCAAGTGCTATCTATAAAACTTAGAGTAAATGTAACACATATGTATGCACTGGGTTTTATCTCTAAAGTAGACTTTGAGCTTCTTACCTTGCTGTATTGGCTGGCTTTGTGAAACACTTCTGTACTGGTTCCCAAGAACCCAGCACCCAGAGTGTCTAGAATCATCCTCTTGCTCCTCTGAATAACGCGATCTGTCAGGTGTCCCACTTTCAAGCCATGGATCGTTTTGGCAAAGCTTTCTGTGACAGACTTTAAATGGAAGAGTGTTAGGACAGGGCCACACCCCCCTCTGTACCTACACACTTCTGTTCTATAAGAGACTTGAGACGCTTTTGTGTAAAGAGTTTTGCTCCACTAGAATAAACCCAGTTGATCCAATTTAGTTTAATTTCTAAAAAAAAAAAAAAAAAGGTGTGAACTAAGCACCTACTATGCGTGAGGCAGAGGATGTGGGGGCACACAAGCCAGTTTCTGTTCTCAGTCGAGTTGAGGGGCAGGATAGCAAGCACAGGGTATGGCACTGTGTGATGGGTGGTGGTGGAGGGAAACACAGGGAGTTGTGAGGGGAGGATGGGAGGGACACTTTGTCTGTGTAATAGGGATTTCTCCTGGTGCAGTGCACTCAGCTGCTATTATGAGATACCTGCCAGGCACTGTGCTGAATGTCTCAAATACATTACCCGCTTAATACCCACAAGTCTCTAAGTAGTTATTTGTTGCAGGTGAGGAGACTAAGACCTAGAAAACTAAAGTTACTAATGTTCACAGCTTTTAAATAGTGGAATCTGAACATAAACCCCTATGGGTCTAACTCCGCAATCAGTGCATCTAGCTATCAAGTCCAAAATGGTCTGACGAACATGTACCTCACAACCACCTTGAATTCTTGCTGAAAATGAACATTTCTGGTCCCCACTCTAGATCACCAAAATTAGACTCTTCCCAGAAATAGACCCTCTGGAAGCATAACGCAAGATTCTGTTTTCATTAGGATCTCTAAGAGGTTCTTAAGTGCTCTGGTGCTCTTAGATCCAATATGGCACTCTCTCCAACGTGACTACCGAGCCCTCGAAATGCAGCAAGTTGCGATGTGTCATAAGAGTAAAATAAAGACTGAATTTTGAAGGTTTATTAGAAGAAAGAATATAAAGCACCTCGATAATTTAAAAATATTCATTACATGCTGAATCAATATTCAATACATTGACCAGGTGCAGTGGCTCTTGCCTGTAATCCCAGCACTTTAGGAGGCTGAGGCAGATGAATCACTTGAGGTCAGCAGTTCAAGACCAGGCTGGCCAATGTGGTGAAACCTCATCTCTACTAAAAATACAAAAATTAGCTGAGTGTAGTGGTAGGCATGTGTAATCTCAGCTACTGGGAAGGCTGAAGTGGGAGAATCACTTGACCTGGGAGGCAGAGGTTGTAGTGAGCCAAGATTGTACCACTGCACTCCAGCCTGAGCAACAGAGTGAAACTCCATCTTAATTAAAAAAATCCAGTATATTGATGTCAACATATCAATAATATATGGGATATTGTGTAAATAAAACATGTTATTAATGTATCAGTTTCTTCTTTTTTTGTTTTTTTTCACTCTTGTTATCAGTTTCTTCTAAACATTTTCTAAAATTTAAAATACTAGAACAATTTAAATTACATATGTGACTTGAGAACCACTGCCTGCCCTTTGCTGTTGGTGGAGACATTGATACTGGATCTCGTTATGAAAACTTAAGTGCGGTCATCAGATAATGGTGCAGCGTGATGAAATTGGAGGGTAAAGGTAAAAGTAGAAGTGAGGGCCAAGGCTGGGAGGTGTGAGATAGTGGAGAGAGTCTGGCTCCCTTCAGCTACAGAGTTGCGTATAGGAGACAGAGTTGAGAGGGAGAATGGATTTGCAGCTTATGATCCAATGATGAACATTATGTCATACTAAAGACTGTGATGTCAATGGGGAGCCAAAGTGCTATCTTAAGAAAAGTAGAGATATGGTCACAACTGATGTTTTGGAAAGATTCCTATAGGCAATTGTGTAGAGTATGGATTGGAGAGGACTAGACAGGGTCAGTGAAAAGACTGCTGCAGTAGCCCAGGCTCTGGATGGGAAATGGCAGTGCCATTGGCCAGGAGAGAAAACACAGGAAGAGGAGCAGCCTTCCGAGCAATGGTGATGGGCTTAGTGTGAACTCGTTGAATATGAAGTATCTGTGGTCATCTCACTGGAGAAGATCATTCTGCTTCTACCCATAAGCCAGATAGGAACAATGTGCAAGATTATTTGTATTTCATAAACAGTGGAATACTCTACAATTCCTTTAAAATTCAAATTCTTCAATACATAGATGTTACATATTTTGTTTTCTACACATTTTCACAAGACAGTATCTCTTATGCAGAGTTAAAAACATCTACTCTTAGGTTTCTACTGCCAGGTTTCACTGTCTGCCCACCACCTAGTGAATGTTGAATTGCTTCCCTTTCTTGCTCCGGTTACTACATCATTGCACAACTTAATTTGTCTCTCTCAACATCAGATACCTCATTTTTAAATCTTAGCTGTAGGGTGAGGGGTTATTGGATTAGGGGAATTGGGGTGTCTGGGGTTCTCTGATACTGAGTTCAGTGCCAGGACAGAGCTACAGAGATGGAAGCCATGCCTAGCTAAATGTCCTTCAACCTGGCCACCAACTAGTCCCATTTATAGAGTCTCAAGTCAGGTTTATCAAGTCAAGGAACACTTGCCATTTTCAAAAGGATGGGCTTTTTATGTCTCTGAGGGTTTGGATAGAAAGGCAGGAGGTAGGGTTTGGGGTCGGGGAAAGCAGGAGAGAAGATGGCTAGGAGAGAGAAAGGATGCTGGCACAAAGTTTTCAGATTAGGGTGGAAGAATAACAATAATGTTGACTTTCACGCTGCTAGAAATTTGAGTTAAAATATTTTTAGGGGCAGAGGGAGAGAGGAAGAGAGGGTTAAAACTTACGAGTTTCCAATATTGATTGGATCCCTGACTCTAAGCAAAACGACCTCTTTTAAATCTCTCTTCCCAACCCTATAAGTCCCATAGTTGGGCTCATGTAGTGATTGATCATTCATCTCTTCAGGGCTAGATCTGACCCAGTGGTATCTTATGGAGGAATGTGAGACCAGGGAGCAGGTAGGAGGTGGGGTGGTGACATGGAGCCCTGGAGATAATTGCACCATCCGTCCATATCAAACCATGCTGCTGGTGATACTGGAAGGTGGAGCCCTGGAATCCCCTGGAAGTCATGAACAGCACACTGTGTGCCAAAGAACACATGGCTGTCCCTGACCAATGAAGGAATAAAGCATGAGGGAAATTAAATGCACAGTTTTGCAGCTGTCAGTGGGCCTTGTGTTCATTTATTTCTAAAATACCTTTCTGATCTGCTTGTCCATCTCATGGCATTTCCATCACTTTTTAAATATGGTGATTATTAATGTAAAAGTTAAGGCATAACATGAAAACCATTGACCAAATCAATTTCACAAGTTCTTACTGTGAGTCCTGCACTGTTGTAAGCTCTCAAGAATGACAAGTGAACACGTGATGGTTCCTGCCTCAAAAAACTTATCTTCTACAGGAGGTGGCGATCGTAAATAGATAACCAGAAACACAATCTGGCAGTGTCATAATGGACACACATAAAACTAGGCGGTCAAAATTCAATGAAATTGTCATGATTTATCTCTTTCCTAACTTCGTACAATAGAATCATTTATCTCATTTGTAAAACACTGACGAAAACCACCACGCAGTTAATTAGGTAGCCCACAGGTTATTAAGAAAAGTTAAAGCAGAAGCAGGTAGTTCTTAAAAGGAGAGGGCAACTGAAGAAATTGAGGAAGGAAGAAGTCCGCTAGAAAAGCAGTTTAAGTAAGCCACATAAAATACCACAATACCTTGGGCATCATTTTGTTGTAAAGAGGAGGTTCAGTTCAGGAGGAGTGAACCAGAGGAGTAATTTCTTTGCTGGATGTCTGACTGCCTTTACACCCTTCACTCCTCTTAAACGCATTTCCTTTTATTCTAATCCTAGAATTTCTATCATTTCAACACCTCCTGACTAGACTCACTTTAACTTCCTCTTTTTTTTTTTTTTAATTTTTTATTGGATTTTAGGTTTTGGGGTACATGAGCAGAGCATGCAAGACAGTTGCGTAGGAACATACATGGCAGTGTGCTTTTCTTTCCTTCTCCCCTTCACCCACATTTGGCATTTCTCCCCAGGCTATCCCTCCCCACCTCCCCCTCCCACTGGCCCTCCCCTTTTCCCCCCAATAGACCCCAGTGTTTAGTACTCCCCTTTCTGTGTCCATGTGTTCTTATTTTTCATCATCCGCCTATGAGTGAGAATATGCGGTGTCTCATTTTCGTTCTTGTGTCAGTTTGCTGAGGATGACGTTCTCCAGATTCATCCATGTCCCTACAAACGACACAAACTCATCATTTCTGATTGCTGCATAATATTCCATGGTGTATATGTGCCACATTTTTCCAATCCAGTCTATTATCAATGGGCATTTTGGTTGATTCCAGGTCTTTGCAATTGTAAACAGTGCTGCAATGAACATTCGTGTACATGTGTCCTTATAGTAGAATGATTTATAGTCTTTTGGATATATACCCAGTAATGGGATTGCTGGGTCAAATGGAATTTCTATTTCTAAGGCCTTGAGGAATCGCCACACTGTCTTCCACAATGGTTGAACTAATTTACACTCCCACCAACAGTGTAAAAGTGTTCATTTTTCTCCACATCCTCTCCAGCATCTGTTGTCTCCAGATTTTTTGATGATCGCCATTCTAACTGGCGTGAGATGGTATCTCAATGTGGTTTTGATTTGCATCTCTCTGATGACCAGTGACGATGAGCATTTTTTCATATGATTGTTGGCCTCATATATGTCTTCTTTCGTAAAGTGTCTGTTCATATCCTTTGCCCACTTTTGAATGGGCTTGTTTGTTTTTTTCCTGTAAATCCGTTTGAGTTCTTTGTAAATTCTGGATATCAGCCCTTTGTCAGATGGGTAAACTGCAAAAATTTTTTCCCATTCTGTTGGTTGCCGATCCACTCTAGTGACTGTTTCTTTTGCCGTGCAGAAGCTGTGGAGTTTGATTAGGTCCCATTTGTCTATTTTGGCTTTTGTTGCCAATGCTTTTGGTGTTTTGTTCATGAAGTCCTTGCCTACTCCTATGTCCTGGATAGTTTTGCCTAGATTTCCTTCTAGGGTTTTTATCGTGCCAAGTCTTATGTTTAAGTCTTTAATCCATCTGGAGTTAATTTTAGTGTAAGGTGTCAGGAAGGGGTCCAGTTTCTGCTTTCTGCACATGGCTAGCCAGTTTTCCCAACACCATTTATTAAACAGGGAATCCTTTCCCCCTTGCTTGTTTTTGTCAGGTTTAGCAAAGATTGTATGGTTGTAGATATGTTGTGTTGCCTCCGGTGCCTCTGTTTTGTTCCATTGGTCTATATCTCTGTTTTGGTACCAGTACCATGCTGTTTTGATTACTGTAGCCTTGTAGTATAGTTTGAAATCCGGTAGTGTGATGCCCCCCGCTGTGTTCTTTTTGCTTAGAATTGACTTGGCTATGCGGGCTCTCTTTTGGTTCCATATGAAGTTCATGGTGGTTTTTTCCAGTTCTGTGAAGAAAGTCAATGGTAGCTTGATGGGGATAGCGTTGATTCTATAAATTACTTTGGGCAGTATAGCCATTTTCACGATATTAATTCTTCCTAACCATGAACATGGAATGTTTCTCCATCTGTTTGTGTCGTCTCTGATTTCATTGAGCAGCGGTTTGTAGTTCTCCTTGAAGAGGTCCCTTACGTTCCTTGTGAGTTGTATTCCAAGGTATTTTATTCTTTTTGTAGCAATTGTGAATGGCAGTTCGCTCTTGATTTGGCTTTCTTTAAGTCTGTTATTGGTGTAGACGAATGCTTGTGATTTTTGCACATTGATTTTATATCCTGAGACTTTGCTGAAGTTGCTTATCAGTTTCAGGAGTTTTTGGGCTGAGGCGATGGGGTCTTCTAGGTATACTATCATGTCGTCTGCAAATAGGGACAATTTGGCTAACTTCCTCTTTAATGAATTGTTTTACTCTTCAGTGGATGAATAATTCAGTGAGGCTAGAATGTACAGTAATCATGATCTTATGATTCCTCACAGGCATCAGAAAAAGTAAATAAATTTATGGTAAAACTAGGATGGCCTTTTGTGCCTAGACAGCTTATGTCAATACCAGAAGAATATTCACACTCTTTTAACTAGGTATTCTACTTCTCAAAATTTATCCTAAGGAAATGAACATGGATGTATAGAAAATTTTAGGGAAAAAAATTCCACATGCATACAACAAAACACCCTTGCTTATAAGATCAAAAATTGGAAACAAGGCCTGGTGTGTTGGCTCATATCTATAATCCCAGTGCTTTGGGAGGCCAAGGTGGGAAGATTACTTGAGGCCAGGAGTTTCAGACCAGCCTGGCAATAAAACAAGACCTTGGCTCTACAAAAAAACTTAAAAAAACCAGCCAAGTGTGGTGGCGCATGCCTGTAGTTGTAACTACTTGGGAGGCTGAGGTAGGAGGATCACTTGAGCCCAGGAGGTTGAGGCTGCAGTGAGCTATGATCACACCACTGCTCTCCAGCTTGGGTGACAGAGTGAGACCCTCTCTCAAAAAAAGAAAGAAAAGAAAACAATCAAATGTCCCCAAATACTGGATTGGTTAAGTAAAATGTGGCATGTGCAATATTTAAGGTACTCCCATTTCCCCCTTCAACTTCACCTTGTTGGTCACCATTGTCTAGGGTCAAATGTGCCAGCAAGAAGTTTCTGGCAACTTGAGATTAAGAACCTGGAAGGGCATTGGGGGTTAATGACACTTTTTCCTAGCTTGTACCCTACCTCCTTCCTAAACGACTCTTTCCATATTTGCACATCTCTGATTCTTGGTTCTCTGCCTGGCTTCTGAAATATAGTGCCTTCTCCCTGCCATCCTGCTATTGCAGGAGTCTGTTTCAACACAGCTTGTCCAGGCCTCTTTGCCTATAATCAATCACTATGATATGTCTTGCCCAGTATTAACTCTGCTTCTCTGGGCAATTGCCACTTCCCTTGGACTTCCTAGTCCTGGCCAATTGGTTTGCACTTACAGTGGGTACAAAAAACAAGTGATTTCAAATCTGAGCCTATTGTTCTAGGTATGATGGCACAATTTGTCTTTGAAGAAGACTGAATTTCAATTATGGGGGAAATCTCCATGAGACTTGAGGTTCCATTTCAATCCTATTGATGGAGAGTTTTGGGACAAAGCAGTTAAAATGCTCTGTGTCAAAATGCAAAAGCCCTTCTTGTGGGCAGGATATCTCTCTGGGAGATGAAGTTAGGTAATTGTGCTTGTGTTAGTTGAAGCCTGTAGAGAAAGAATGCTAGGGCTCTCGAGACAGGGCTAAGAGCAGGGTCAATGGGAACTCCCATGGATTGGTTGGGGTGGTATGATGGCTATAGGCTAGGAGCTCCAGGGGGAGGTGACCAGCAGGAAACCCTGCATCAAAGGACATAGGCAGACAGGTTTAAAGAGCAATGAGATCAAATGTGTAATTTGAAGCTTATTTTCAGCATAAAAATTCCCCAATGGTATCCTTATATCTTTAGGAAAATTTGTTACATATTACAACCTAGTGTTAGCCATGTTTTGGGAAATGAAGGAAGAGGAAGTTGATCATGCATGGAATAGAAAGGGCTGGTGAGAGAAGCTCAGGGTACCCGTCAGAAGGAGAAGGTACCAGCAGCAACCAGGGGAATATAGGTACTTTTTGGTTATCCTAAGTAGGTCATGAGGAGTCAATGGAAGTGGGGTGTAATTGCACATACTTGGGTGTAGAGGAGAAGAATGCAGAAGGATGAGCACTTGGGGATGTTTGAAGTCTACTAAGCCAACTGCTACCTCAAGTGGGTTTCCTAATCATGTGCAGACTGAGGAAACCCAGACCTAGCTTCTGTGTTGACATAGTTGGTGGTTTTATGCAACAAGATACCACTTCAGATGATCTTTATTTTATTTTGGTGGATTCCAAAACCAGCTTCCCTTAGAAGGGTGGATTTCTGTATCAAAAGAACAAGATGAGTATTTTGGGGCCATTGTGTAAGAGCAATCACATTATAATATTCTGTGATTCATTGCTGAAGAGTCTACATAAATTGATGTTTAGAGTAATCTTATCAAGTTGAAAGGAAAGACATCTAGTTTGATAAATACTTAAAACTATCTTAAGCATTAACCTAGTTGAGAATTCTGGAGTTTTCAGGTTAAATGTCTATGTTTATTCCATTTATATGCACACAGAAATGTAGTAGATTCTTTTATTTCCCAAAACAACCTACATGAAAGTTTTCACTAGTATTATTCCCAATTTAAATAAGAGAAAGTCAAGATCCCAAGAAACTATATATATATATATATTCAAGTTGAGCCTGAGGTTTGGAGTTGAGCCTTCTTGGATCACTGCTACATGAAGTGAAGAATGGATTGTGATGGGCTCTGCCATCTCACGTGGAAAGGCTTCCTAAAGGAATGACGAGCTTTATCAAGTCCCTTGGACTTTAATGGAAGTTCCATGATTTAGTTTCTTTGGGCTTCTGGTTTTGCCATTATTGCATTCAGAAGAATTAGTTCAATTACTTGCTGGTTATTTACTTAGTATTTTTACGTATCTGTGATCAGCTCAAAGACCAAGACTGTAATCAGAGTCACTTTCCCTTAATACATTGTATATAGTTAGCAACTCTCCACTCAGAAACAATTGATTTTCTGTTGCCTTTCACTTCTAAATCTAAATATAAGCCAGAGCTATTGTTTTCAAATGCAGATCTTCTCTTTGATCGCTCACCCTGGAGGAAGCAAGGTTATGAGTGAGTCCTGTGGAGAGGCCCACATAGAGAGGAATGGAAGGCTCTTGTTAATCTTTCCATGGCAATCAAGTCTTCA